TATTTTAGGACATCGTGTACTTAATGTTGAAAATAATAATTGCAATAAACTGTTGAGGGGACTGCCTTGTATGGAATTTTCAGCGTGTGGGATGTATCAAATACAATTTACTGTGCTGGAAGGGTTTTTTTAATATATTTTGGCAGATGTGATGGAATTTCAATTTGGGCAGTTGAAGTACATTTTTGTTAGATGTCTTACATTTTTAGGCTTCACTGCCTGAAGTTGGTACATTATTCATTTCATTTTCCAAATTATAAAAATATTCAGTGCTGCTTTGAGTTTTCTGAGCTAGTAAGCATGGACAAGGTGGTAAAATTACAGAAGTATATAGGGATGCAGTCTGTGTATGTTGGGATTTTCATTTGTTTTAGCTCTCAGAGGACAGTATTATTACAAAGTATAAATTTACTTTTAGATTCACTTGTTTTACTTCTAAGACAATATGAGTGTTTTCTTACAAGGGACTTGAAAAATGAAACCCATAGCATAGTTAAATCTACATGTAAATTACTATATTTCTTGTGTGCAACACATACCTTTTTCCCCAAAATCAGATGCTAAAAATTTAGGTATGTGTTATAAGTGAGAAAATATGGTAATACTAGTTGCTGTAGGTTGAGTCTTTGCTGGGGGGAGGAGCAGGTATGACATATAATGCTTCCCCAAACACCAGAAGCTGAAAATTGCAGTGTGCATTATATGCAAGAAATATGGTAATAATGTTTCTGCCAGTTATGGGCAAAAATACAAGTAAAATCTTCACTCACAGGAAAGATTTTTTCCCCCTTCATTCTGCCTTTCAGAAACAAGATGTGTATTAGATTCAGGGGCATACTGTATGTGAGAAAATGTAGTAACACTGCATGTACAACATAATAGAGGCAGCACAGTGAACACTCTGGGCTCCCTTTTTGCTGGCTGTGAACACTTTCTCTTTTCCCTGGCAGAGATTCAGGCAGCAGAAGCTCAACAGTGCTATTTCTAAAGTAGAGCTGCACCGCTGAATTAGCTGAGTGGTCCCTCAACCAGGCTTCAGGCCCTGCTGGCTAGGATCAGGCCCTCAGCTGACCTGGCAAATGCTATTAGCTGCCCACCCAGCTCAATTCAGGAAGAGAAGTGGGGTCAGTCTTTTTTTTTTTTTTCTTTTTTTTTTTCAGCCAGCAGCACCAATAGCATCCTGCTTCTAGGGAGTTAACAAAGTAGCCACAGTGTTTTTGCTTCCTGGCTACTCCAGCTGCCTTGGTTTGCCCTGGAAAAATACCATACTTTACCAGTATTTTCAAGGAAAGATCTTTTTCTTTCCTCTGCCTCTTGAAAAATAAAGTGCATGTTTTATTTGGAGGTGTGTTGTAGGCAACGAAATATGGCAGATTTCTTTTTGAGAGACTTGCATTGAGCAGCAAAATGCTATGCCTTTAAAGAATTAATGTATAACAGTTATGCAATACATTAAGTAACATAGTAAAGATTTAGTAAAAAAAAAAAAAAATAGTGCTTTTTCCCTAGATGCCACCTTATGCATAGAATTGCTCTCTCCTTGTTTTTTCAAGATGCTTTGTTAAAAATAAGGATAGGCAGACAGGTATTTAGATTACAATCAAATGATGAAAGTTTGCAGTATTATATTTAAGATAGCAAGCAAAGATAAGTTAAACAAACAGGTTACATCTCTAGGAAGTTCTTGGAGATATTTTAAGGCAGCTGAAGATATTTGGAGCATTATGTAAAACTGAAGAAAATTAAATACTAGGTTACACAACATATTTTTGGGTGGGGTGAGGCAAGGAGAAGGATAAGAAATTATCTTTATTCAGTTTGCATCACATTTTAATGGGGAGGGGGGCAATTTAACAAAGTATGTGTTGTTGATAAAGTTAACCAACACATTTTGAATAAGCTTCCACTCTTTGCTGCTTTCACCGTTTTGAGAACCTATGCACTTCCCCACAATCTGACGTCTGACCAAGTCTTATGCCCCACCAAAGTGGAAATCAAACACATTAATGACAGAGTAGCTTGATATGCTGCCAGCTCTTTAACAAGAGGCTACTACAAAAAATGTCCTCTTAGGGGATGACTCTGGTTCTTGTGCTTTCTTCCTTAGGCTAGATAAAGCACATTTTTTAGAAATAGACAGTGAAAATATCTCTAGTTCACCTCGACAACTGCCCACTTTAAACCAAAAAAGGAATCTTTCTCAAAACATTAACAGTGGGAAGCAGACATCATTGTGCAAACCTAGGTCAAGTGAACTTGCCAGAAATTGTTACTTGAGCTTGAAAAAAGAAATTACATAGATAAAATAGTATCTTTGTTCAGTGTTTGTGATATGAGATGGGGTTTGCTAGTGCTGTTTCTTCACTGAAAATGTTTTTTAAAATATTGGTTTCTTGAGGAGATTAAATGAATTCCAAAGGCAAAACAGTTTTGTTAAAGTACTTGAGATCCAATTATATTCTTACATACATTTCATGAGCATGATTGAGCCTCATTCAGAGGGAGCAAATACTGTCATTAGCAGAATGATCACCCAGTTTTCCCATCTTACCTGGTAATAAAATTTTTAATTGGGTTCCAAAAAACTCCTCTCTCCTCCGCAATCCAATAATGAAATAATTTGGAAGACACTCAGCTAGTATTATTTTGCAATAAACATGTTTAAATATTTAAATGGAAATATGTTTAAAAGCAGGAAGAGGGATTGTTATGAGTTCTGCTTTAAACTGATGCAAGCTCCCAGAATATTCTATAACAATGTTGTAATCATCAGTCTCACTCCAGTGCCTTTTTAATAATTTTCCTTGTATAGGAATGCCATTTATTTTTAAGTTATACAAACAATCATGATTAATCACATTTGCAGATCCCCAGTATTTTACTTTATACCAGTTGTAGATCTTGAACATGCCAATCCTGCTTTTCAGGACTGTTTGTGAACAAATTTAAAACTTGTGTCCCTATTCAAGAATGTATTTTAGTATATGCCAACTTTCATTTGGAGATGAGTTAAATACCTGGCTGATTTGGGGTCTTTGAAGAGAATTTAATTGAAATGGAAATACTAGTTTAATATAATTTTACTTCTCTTCTTTTTGTGAGGAAATTTCCTTAATGCTTAACAAATGGTGGATTGTTATACTGATCTTTTGATTCTTTCATGTAGGTGCTTGATTGCCATTTTATTTGTACTCCCTTAAATGGAATAATAGTAGAAGCCTGTGCAGTCTACACAGATCTAATATGTCACCTAAAATCTGTTCAAGATCTGTTCATTCAGTAAATGTCTTTGTTTTTATGCTTTAACAAAATCAAAGTAGATCTTCAAAAAGCAACCTGCAATTGAATACGAAAATCTGCTGCCAACTTTGTTTGAGTATTTTGTGGGATACCTCAGGAAAATGATGACTTCTGATATATTTTAGTGTGAAATACATAAACTTACTAAGTTTTGAAGAAAATGTTACTCAGATGGTATCAGCTTAGTCCATAATAATGTTTTCTGTATAAATATTTTACCACTAATGAGGACCTGTAAGGCTCCTGTCTGCACTCGCATGCCTCTATCGCTGGAATGTCTAAAAGCAGACAACAGCTGCTTCTGTCCAGCCATAAGGGTGTGTGTGCGCATGCATGTGCTTTTGGTGCCTGGCTAGTGGAGCCGTGTGGAGCCAAGCTGCGAGAGCACACAGTGCACTTTGGGACAGGGCTGTGTGGCACTTGGCAGAAAGTATAAGAGTGTTTGCCAGTTCTCAGACAGCAGTAGAAGTACTACTTCACTTGGCATTTGAAAGGAGGGTTCTGATGCTGCAGAGGAGCCTTAGGTGTGGACATGTTCAAAGTTTTGTCAGCTGGAGTTTTGCTGGCTAAACTTCGTAATGCGGACTAAGCCAGATGATACTGGCTCCTTTTCATTTTTAAGTCAACAGACTGCTGACAAAAGGAAGTTTTGAGTTTGGCTGAGTGAAACCCATACAGTGCTGGGTACCCATGAAGTGCCATCATATGCAGTGATTCTCTTTGTGTCTTTCAATGGAAAGGAAGAGGAAGAACAACTAAAAATTCATGATTGTAAACCACAAAAAAATCCTGCAGGGGTCTTATCATTTCAAATACTCTTACATATTGTAGCTGACTGTCCTTTGAACACTGACACACCTTTTTAAGAAGTCAAAGGAGATGCAGAATTTTTGGCACCATTTTCTTAAGTTACTTCTACTTAGCAATATTTTTGTCACTTTTTGGCAAACTGTATTGCGGGACGTACTCCTCTTTACCTATTTCATATGTTTTCTTATATTCTTAAATAATAATCTGTTGTATCATTTACTTGTAGTCTTTTCGTTGAAAAACTGAGCTGTTGATAGCAAGTTTAATTTTTTTTCCTGACTTACCTCTGTACATTCATAGCTGTGTAGCATAGTGCATGAGTTTTCAGCATATTTGATTGCATTTGAATCAAAGGTTTAATACATATCATAGTTATCAAAAGTATTTTTGATAACTATGACCTACTACTAAATTGAGTAATTTGTGTTTTTCATTTGTTTTTGATGGGCAGAATTCTTCATTAAATTCTTTCTACTTGCTGTAATCGGGCCCTTCAACTCACTTTCTCCTGATACTCACCATAGTACATTTTCTAAGCTAGCAAACAATTTCATTTTGATTTACTGTATTTACCCTTTTAGATTTAAAAGGATTTAATTGCCGGTATGAATCTCCAGTTAACATATTTGGCTCTTGGTTTATGCATTTTTATGCTATGACATTCATGTGGTCAGACTTCTATATTGTCTAATATGCCCTTCTTTATATAAGGACATATAAACCCTGGCATATTCCGTGTGTTTCAGCTATGTATGGGATTAATTTGAAGTTAATTAATCCACTCCACCTTTAAATTGTAGTTTTTTATTACTTGAAGGAATGAATTATTTTTAGGGTGGCATTC